GCCCGTCGGCTTCCCTCCCGAGCGGAAACACTTCCGTTCTTCCACAGTCTCCACCAGGAGCATCGCCCCTCTTTTTCAGTCGAGCTGATCGCAGTCATACCGGCCGTCGAAGCAAGACTCGACGTCGTCGCGGCCATCTCGGTGGCAGTCTCCGTCGTGATTTCCGTCTCCACCGTCGTGCTCTGGCGCCACCCTTGATCTGCGTCTCCGATATCGTCTCCACCTCGATGGTGCGTCACAAGTTCGCCCGCGGAGGAGCGTCTCGTGCGCGTGAGTGCGTGCGGACGAGTCTGGTTCACGATGCTGCGCGTCGCTTCCTCCGCGAGCAGAACACCTCGCGTCTTCACAGTCTCACCGGGAGACATCGCCCTCTTTCTGCAGTCGAGCTGATCGCAGATCATACGCGGCCCTCGAGGCAAGACTGGAGCGTGCGTCGCGGCACATCTCGGTGGGCAGTCTCCGTCGTGATTTCCGTCTCCACCGTCGTGCTCTTGGCGCCACCCTGAGTCTGCGTCTCCGATGTCGTCTCCACCTCGATCGTCGTCACAAGTTCGCCGGCGGGGGACGTCTCCGTGCGCGTGGTCGTGCGGACGGTCTTGGTCACGATGCTGCCGTCGGCTTCCTCCGAGCGGAACACCTCCGTCTTCACAGTCTCACCGGGAGCATCGCCCTCTTTCTCAGTCGAGCTGATCGCAGTCATACCGGCCGTCGAAGTACGGCTCGACGTCGTCCCGGCCATCTCGGTGGCAGTCTCCGTCGTGGTTTCCGTCTCCACCGTCGTGCTCTTGGCGCCACCCTTGGTCTGCGTCTCCGATATCGTCTCCACCTCGATCGTCGTCACAAGTTCGCCGGCGGGGGACGTCTCCGTGCGCGTGGTCGTGCGGACGGTCTTGGTCACGATGCTGCCGTCGGCTTCCTCCGAGCGGAACACCTCCGTCTTCACAGTCTCACCGGGAGCATCGCCCTCTTTCTCAGTCGAGCTGATCGCAGTCATACCGGCCGTCGAAGCAAGGCTCGACGTCGTCGCGGCCATCTCGGTGGCAGTCTCCGTCGTGGTTTCCGTCTCCACCGTCGTGCTCTTGGCGCCACCCTTGGTCTGCGTCTCCGATGTCGTCTCCACCTCGATCGTCGTCACAAGTTCGCCGGCGGGGGACGTCTCCGTGCGCGTGGTCGTGCGGACGGTC